GGGCCTTGTTGGCCGGCTGGGCACCCTGCCGGCTCATGTTCAGCCGGCTGTCGACCAGCACCCCCAGGTCACCTTACCTTGATCCCCGTGGGTTCTTGTCCCAAGCATGGTAGATTAGATCAGGGGACGGGTGGCCCTGCAGAGCCTGGAGGGAGGATTCCTGTCCCGGGAGCAGCGTGGCGGCCAAATCGGGTCCTGAATTTTAAGAGGGAAGGATGTAGATCAAGCTGATGGCGTAGGCAGGCGAGATGTAGGGCTTGAGGAGGACCTCTTCTGAGAGCCGATACAGGGCAGCCCGGATGATTAAGTAGGGAGGTACAACACAGCCCAGGCTGACCACCACCACCAGCGGTTTAACGGTCCATTTGTGCGTCACTGGCTCAGACACCCACAGAACAGCGTCGCTGGTGCCTCCTCGCCGACCGGCGCCTTGGGCTGCAACTCAGGAGGTGCTGAGCTCTGTCCAGCCTACGCACGGACCGGGGCAAGATCTTTCCTCTGTTGGTTCCTTATCTGGGCAGCGGGGAGAAATTCCCAGAAGTGCATTATTTATTGATATGAAGACCCTGGGTTTGTAGCGTACCTGCCGCGGTCAGTTTCTGTGGGTGAGGGAAGGTTTAAACACGACAGGGTTTTGGTGGGAATCCCTTCCCGGTCGCAGGCTGTGAGGGACAAAAAACAACCAGCTGTGAGGGCGCACACTGACTGAGGGGTCTCTAGATGTACCCGTGCTGCTTGACTTCCAGAAAACGGGGCACCCTCTGGGTGGATACCGCTGCGTCTGGAGAAGTGTTCAAGGTCTTTTTCAGAACCTGTTAGCAATATTACTGGAATTTGACCTAAATTACTTGAATTTTCAGTGATCATGGCCTCTGGCATGTATTACATGCAGCAGGGTACCTCAGAAAAGGCAGTAAATTTATCTTTACTTAGTTTTATGTAAAGGCAGCAGTATAATTTAACATTATTGTGATGCAAATAAAGTTATATTAAACCAACAGCATATGGTACCCTGTTTACTGCATGTCACATCATTAATAAATTGTTTGAAGATTAAAGGGACAATAATGGCTTTTTAGAGCGCTTTGTTTTCTGTTAGTCATCACCGGCCTCGTTACGGGGCCGAGTGCAGGGGGAACTTTTGTGGCTGAAAGCAAAGTAATTTGTAGCCATGAAGAGTTGACTTGTGTGGATGGTGATTGACTCTTGCAGCACTGGAAATGAGGGCTGGCAAGGAACAGCTTCAAAACAAAAAGCAGCTCGTTCTTCGTGCAAGAGTAAGCCGTAGTGGAACTCCTCGCCGAGGGATCGGGGGTCATGAAAGTTTACAGGGGCTCGTGGAGAGACTGGAGAAGTTCAAGGAGGAAAAATCCATTCGTGTTTGCTGAATACATGTGAAAACGTGCAGCTCAGGAAGCCTCCTCGGCTGAAAATACTCGGCACTAGGACGTGGACGAGGCATAGCAAACCTCGGCTCAGAAGGGGCTTTGGATCTGTGACCCAGGCGGGGGTGCGGGAGGATCCCGTTCAGTGGGCTGAAGTGGGACAGGAATATTTTTAAATTTTGGTCACTGGGACGTTGATCTTTTTGTGTCTAAGTAAGTGCCTAGATGGGCTCTCGCACCGGTCACTGCAGCGTCGTGGTCTTGAACAGATGGTAGGAAGACCTCAAGGATTTTTATGTGTATTGTTTTCAGAGTCCTTTCAAACTCCCAGGGGAAAAGCAGCATGAAAAGGAGATATGTAACTAAATTCTTCTGAAAATTACCATTCTTCTCCGCAAATTATCTGTAAGCTGATGAATAAATAAAGAAACTGGCATTTCTTTACTCATCTGTTTGACACTAAAAATGAAACTGAGTCATCTACTGCCCTTAACTCGTAACGAATTGTGAAGAGTAGGAGAATAATGAATGATGGCAATCTTCTTCTCTTTCAGGTGGGCAAATTCTGTGGGTGTTTTGCAGCTGCTCAGATCAACCCGCTGCCAGTGAAGAGTCTCGTCTTTGGGTTCAGCATCTGCAGCAGCAGTTGGAGAACAGCTGCGTCTCTGTGGCACAGACCTGTGTCAAAACGAGGGGTGAAGGTGGGGGTGTCAAACTACTGAGCTTGATCCTGATGATGCAAAACAAAGCAAAAGGGAATTTCAGACAATGGCTTAATCAGGAACCCCTGATTAACCCCTGATTAATCATCAGCAGAGCACAGCACTGCGGCTTTATGAGAGAACATGAGTAGCGGTGGGCTGCTAGAAAGTGAAGGAAGAGGCTCTTCCACCAAAACGTGCCATCCGGACTGGGAGATGAGAAGTCTTCAAGAGCCACTAGTGCCCCCGAGTCGGTACCGGGGCGTTTCCCCTGACCCTGCTGGCAGCCGTCTGTTTAAGGCTGGGCGTTCCTTCTGGTGGCCCTCAGCCAGAAACGACTTAAGAACATTGTGTGGGTCTGAGGAGGAAATAGCAGAGGTAAAGCATAGACATTGTCTGGTGAGAGAGGGAGTTTTCCTCTGGGCATTGTCTGGCTCTACGAGATACCATCAAGCCTTTGTCCTAAGGAAATACGCAAAATCCAAATTGCCTTTTCAGAGGAATCTCAAGGAAACTTCAGTAGCTTCCGAGACAGCTGGGAAAACCGGTGACGACCTAGCAGTATGTTTCTTCTGGCAGCTGGAGAGAAAGTTCTGAAGCACTTTGAAATGATACAGGAAGAAACCAGAAAATTGTGCTCTTGTTTTATGACCCGCAGCATTAGGTTATGATGAGAGATTATGGAACTGCTTTCACTGACGTTTTTTAAAATAGACTAATAGCTACTGAGCATGCTCTGTTTGGGCAGCTCGATCCTTTCCCGGTGAGCAGGTTTGACCTTGATGGCATCTTGAAGTCCCTTCCAGACCTGCATTTCTGTGCTTCCTACCGTGCTGTCAGGCGTGGCTCGATAAAACAGAAGGATGAAGGTGTGGTGTGATGTGGTAGAGAGGAGGCAGAAACACTGGGGTCTGAAGGTTGGTGTCCTCTCCCAGCTGGGCACTGTCGGCTTTCAGGGACCACTGGCTCTACAGGGACACGGATCTTACGGACACTCCAGGGAGCAGCTTCTCGGCCTCTGGCCACAGTGGGATCTGTTGTGGGAGCGGACTCGCTCTCAGCCTTGCTCACCTGACGGTACAGTCAGTGCTGAATTTGTTAGTCTAGTTTCTTAATCCCAGCAATACTGTAGACAGTAGGAACGATACCGTATCGATGGTTAGTGCACACTGGGGTCTAACTGCGCAGCAGAAATGAATCCAAACTGTGGTTCCTTTTTACTCTTGCTTAATTAGATCCTTGTTCATTGTTTCATGTTTTCTGCGACTGGCATTCCTATCACCTGTCTGTCATGCATCAGGTGATCAGTTGCTTTACCTGTACACTAAGCACTCCCAAGTGCCAAACGTTTATAGCACTGTGTGCTCAACACATTTTATATTTTAATTGTTTAGTTAGATACTGAACTATCTGCACATCCTCTTCCTTACAGTGCCACAGATGTCCCATTTAGACCTTTGTTGAGGTGTTGATACTTACTCCGTATTTATTTAGTATTAACTGTCCAGTCATCTTCATCAGCTCATTACTTCACTTGTAATACTGTTTTTCTCCAGTCAGTCCTGTGTTTTACAAGAAGTGGCCCCACGGAAGAACCAGGTACGCCTCGCCAGCCTGCCCAGCATAGTACTCGAGGCTGCAGCCTCCCTGGGTGTGACGGATGCACTCGACCCCTTAACCAAACTTGCGGTAGTTTGGTACAGGCTCCAAAGGAGGCAAAGGCCTAAGCTGTAACTGGGCCAAGAACTTCTCTGGTTCCAATCTGTTCTCTGAAAACCCGCAAAGGAGCAGAGTGACCCAGTGAGTGTTGATGCGTATGAGCTTGGAACACCGATCATGCGATTAACACATGAATAGCGGGTGGCTTTTCCAAGACTCATTTATCAAGGAACAAAGAAAGTTGTGGGTACAAGGAGTCTCATGCATACCTTTTCCATCGCGTGTAATTTGACTGAACCACTTTATTCCATACATATGACAGCCTAAGTGAGCCTTCTTCAGGCTCTCCCGGCTAAGCAGCTGGCTGCATGGCGGTGATCTCCCCTTGAGATGGGATGCCCTCAGGGTTGTTCCTTGAGGCAGAGAGACCTTTCACCAACGGCAGATCTTTGGTAAGCGACTGATACCACGCATAAACTTGTATTATGGTAACTCTGACTTGTCTTGGTAACTATGATTTTGTCTTGGCAACTTTGATTTTTGTCGTGGTAACTTTGACTCTGCCTTGGTAGTTTTGAATCATTGTTCAAATGATTGTGCAGTACAGTAGTAGAGTGAACCTTGCCATCAAACTTTGTTAAGTCGCACTTTTACGACATCATATTAAAACCACTTTTGCTGATACCTTTGACAGTGGCGCTTTAAGCGATCTAAATCACCCATTTGCCGGGGGCCGGCTATGGCAGCACCTTTTGGCTATCCAATGTGCCGAGGTACCAACCGACACAGATTCCTCTGTGCCTTGGCAAGAGGCTGCAGCCTGCACAGCATTTCTTACGATGGGCTTTGCTGACGCTCACTGCGGGCAGGTGGGATCGGTGCACCGAATTGGCTGAATCCCTTACAAGAAGAGAGAAACATTTCAGAAGTGACATTTGTGCCCAGACGTTTCGATGTGACAGTGGCAGGCTTCAGGCAGGGATATGTGCAAGGCATCTGTGCCCAGTCATTGTAGGAGTTGGGGAATTGCTGCTGCTCATGTGCCCCTAACATCTGGCTAGAAAACAGCTGGCTCATTTCAAGCCTGTGCTGGTCCTCAGCAGTCTCTACTCATGCTACTTTTCAAGACATGGAAGCTGGAATGGCCCCTATTCCCGGCCTTTTTCGCTCGACAAATTCCTCCCAGGCCAGGTGAGCAAGGGTGCTCTGAAACAACAGACCCCGTTGTGTTTTTTTAAGGGAACTCTGGACAAAACTGGGAGAGTGCATCCCTCCTGCAGATCCAAAGCAGTGTGTGGACGAGCAGGGCAGAGCTGCACGCTGGGGACAGTACCCCTCTCCGGCCGCGCGCTGTGCTTGCCGAGCAGGGCCAGGGAGCTCTGTAAGCTTACAGACAGCTTCACAGCAGCAGTTCTGCTTGCATGAGCCTTGCCCAGCCAGCAGGCAGAAA